TCCGAGTCCCGGGTTTCTCATTAACGTGTCGTGGCTAATATGGTTGACCTTGATATGTACTGCTGATTCGGAAATTTGACAATTAGTAGCAGGTGTGGTGCTATACGATTCTGGGTGCAACTTTAATGAACATCATATCAAAATGCTAGCGTCTTCATGGGAAAATGCTCAATCGCCAATAGATACACACCTTAATAATTGCTATAATAATCTTTATACCGTCCAATACCCTGATGCACACACGGGTATGGCGAACGATGTCATATCTTGCCGTTTATTCGGAGTACCCATTCGTCATAGTACAGCAAGCGCTGGGAAAATCTAAAACATATCAATCTGATATGTTTTAGATTGTTATAAGGTTTTCTCGCAGGGTTTGATCTTCACCGACTTTTGGTTCCAGGAGAGTGGTTCATGGGATGCAGGTAAGAGGTCGGCAAGACAGTAAATGTTGATGCAGAAAACTCGGCGAGATGAGATAAGATTAGGATATGAAGAAAAAAATTTAACTTTGGGAGAGATAATGTGATATGATGAACATAATCTGATATATACATTAGTGGTGACTGTGTCATAGAGCGCTAAGGACAACTAGTAATGCAGAGTCAATAGACAGACAAATAGCATATGCAGTCAAGAACGTCACGAGAGGTCAGATCAGCTTGTTTTTCAGTGCTTGCTTCACGTATATGAATATACGCATTATAATTCCAACCAATATGATAATGATAATTTGTGTTGCGTGGAATCGAACGATACGAGCAGACACCACGACACGGCCAACCGTCTGCTTGGCTACCTATCTCCTTACTCATCCCCGAATACCTTCCACCCGAAGGTGTTTGACAAATCCACGAACCTTGTTTCTTTACCTTCGTAAACTTTGTTCATGCTTTCGAACTCCTCTTCAGTCAAATCGACTAATGTTCCATTGGTTTTGATTCTCCCCTCATTCGAACTCATGGGAAGGACCACGCATCCTCGTTTGATATTCCAAGCAATCAATATCTGACCTATACTAACACCCTTCTTTTCAGCGATGGAGATGAGTTCAGAGTTTTGAATAAGAGGTTTGCTTGAGCTGGGAGATTGGCTCTGGGATCCCAGTGGCGAATATGCCGCGGGAAGGATATTCTTCGAAAAGCAGTAGTTGATCAACTTAGTGTTAGGCCAGGCGGGATGAATCTCGACTTGGTTCATGGCGGGAGGAATCTCCGCGTACTTAAGAAGAGCTTCCAGGTTTGAGATGGTAAAATTGGATACTCCGATGGATTTTGCCTTGCCAGCTTTGTTGAGAGCTTCGAATCTGCGCCAGATAGATTCCAAGTTGGCCGTCACTTCTTTGTTGATGATGTACTGCTCAGGCTTGTTAGACTTGGGAACAAGAGATACTAACATCGATTGGTGGATTATACCTTTCCATCATCTCCGATCTTGACGTTATAGTCGTCGGTCCTCTCCGCGGCGAACGGCATATGTATCAAGAAAGAATCCACATAATCGACACCTAGTTTCTTCAAACTATAATTCAGACTCCACTCGACATCTTCAGGGGAACCGCAAAGATGAGGCCACACTTTCGTTGTGATGAAGATATCTGAACGCTTGACATTTGGGTTACTGGACAAGAATTCTCGCAAGCCAGACCCAACCTCTTCTTCATTTTTGTAACTGCGGTGTGTTAGTTTCAGGGTTGGCAATTGCAATACGAAAACTATATTTCCGATACTTCGGCACCCCTCCACCAAGGAATAGGGGTGAAAATTAGTGGGAAAAGGGAAGGGATGAGCCTAGGAGAAATCGAGTATACAATTGGGACGAACCGATAAACATGAGACATAGGGGTTGAACTTACTACCAAGCACAATCTAGATGGCGATAACCTGATTGTAATGCCCAAAGTACAGCGTCGTGGCACTTTCCTGGGGATCCTTCATTCTGGAAAGTACCAAATCCTAGAGCCGGTATTGGGGCTCCGGTGTTCAATTTCAGAGTAGGGATGGGGATAGTCATGGTGCTACTTTTCTGCCAACTTCTTGAATCCAGGAATAAATTTCCCTATGGAGCTAGTATCTTGAGGAAAATGTTAGTCTGAGAATTGACCGTGGTATTTCGTGGGTCATGAAAAATGCACAGGGAAATCCTTTGTGTTGGACTGGCCACGTACCGGCACAGATACAGTATAGAATGAGATCTTTCAATACACAATGTTTGCAGTCGCAAATAGATTGAAGAGAACGTGGCTACATAGAAACAGTGGAAGGGCTATACATAATTGTGGTGCTATCGATAATCTACTCTGCATTACAAAGCAGCATGCTACATGATGCATGTTTGCCATTTTGGGCACTCTGCTGTGTGAAACGTGGTGCAGGATGCATGGCGACGAACCGAATATCGGAGAGTGGTGGGTCATCCTTGTAATCTTCAATTGTTGCGAAATGGCAGAAAACTAATTTTTTCATTATCTGCATTCATACAAGGATTCTCGTGGGGTGGGCTGTCTTAGAAGAAACGACCCATCCCTCGATAAGGTTAAAGGCTCGTTAGACATTTTGATGTTTGACTTGACTTGAACTTTAATGTACGCCAACTAGCTTGCTAGTAGGAGCTCAAGAAAAGCTTAAAGCACTAGAATTGTGCCCAATACCAAAGAGGGACAAAAATGTTTGAAAGACCCAAGTAGGAAAATTCTTAACAGTCGAACCGATTGGTCATAATCTCGTAATAGCATCAAGAAAAGCATCGTCGATGCGAATGCCTGCTCAGGGCCACCCCGCTTCAATCACCTTGCGGCCCGAGCCGCGGTTGATAGGACAGAAGTGGAGGGGACTGAGAAAATGTGATTTTTGGATAGAGATTGTAAATCTACTAGTTAGTCGACAGAGGACTAGATAGACCATTTCGAGGATTTCACCAATTCATGTGTTCTAGTGGCTAAGTTCCACGTTGTGGTAGAGAGAAACGCAGCCCCCTACATGAAATTCGTCAATTGTTGTCTCTTTCCTCTGTGCTAGCAGACATTGTCGAATCCGAACTTTCGCCGTTCAAGAATGGGAGTTTATGGTTTGCATACGAGACAAGCCAGCGTGTCTTGAATGTATGATTCGAAGTCGGACAGCAAAGCAAGCTTGTGCAGTATGATGTCGAGCAGTCTCTGCAGCTACGTTCCAAAGCTAGTGCCTCAAAGAGGTCATGCATTAGCTCTCTGTATGCCAACCGCATTTTTAGTCTCATGTACTGACACAGCTAAGTCACAATCTCTTCTGTCGACCTTAGCACACATGTCGCCTTAGCTTCTTCTCTTCCTTCCCAACAACAAGCGCACGGCCAGCAGAGACCAGCCCACTCGCCAACGTCACCAACATCATCAACATCATACCAGCCATGTTAGGTCAGAAAACACCATTCCTTGGACCCCAAAAAACGGCAAAGTATCTTGCAGTTCCACATGTGCAGATGCCACACTTTTCAACCTCAATGGTCATTTTCACCTGATTCGGTTCCATGATTCCTACTCAGAACGCGTGATAACGCCCTCAAAGTATCAAGCTTTGCAAAGCTGTAAAACCTGAACCAGTGCGGGTCCACGAAAGAAATGTTGTTCTGTTGGCTGAATATTCTCGAGCTACATTGCCTGTTTATCTTAGCGGATTGTCAAGTGAACGGGTGGATAGCATTCATGAGTTTGGAGATTCTGAGTACGATCAGTCTTTTACTACCCTGAAATCTACTTCTCAGATTCGACGCGAAATCTCGAAGGAAAATTGTGTAGTAATTTAGGATAATGTCGATATCTGAAGCAAATAAGTAGATTCCAGGCTATAATAAGATCATACAAACATGCACATTTGAAGACTCATCATGGCAAAGATGAAACGATGAATATGCATCAGTTCTTCTATTTTGAGAAATGAAACGAGCTAGAAGAATTCCAGAAGACAGCATGGATGATGGCACCTGCCACATCCACTTATCACGTGCACAACTGCTCCAACGTTTCGATTTTTGGACTCGAGTAACCTCTTCGGATTCGAGGAGATTCTAGTGTACTTGCTGTCTCTTATCTCTTTTTCATAGTCCTATACTTCATTATACCAGCTTCAGCTCAGGTCATACGATTATACAGTTCGGTCAATCTGAGGATGTGTCTATATATTGTGCCAGGTCTGAAGTTAGCTTCGTCTGCATGCTCGGTTTTTTACTAGACGCTGCTCGAGGTGTAGTGATAGACTGAAGAAATATCATAAAAATTGGAAGCCAGGATAGATGAATTGTAATACATTGTAAAAAGTATATTAGAAGTCGATAAAAAATAGCTATTTGCAAATATCAAGTAGTCAATACACAACAACTCTGTTCCAATCATACAAGATATTCGCTCAACATATCGTAGTTTGTAGATACCACAGTTGCGTCTTTCTGCCAGTGAGTCATCTTTTCGGCAGATATAGCAGGCGAGAAAAGCATCACAGCGTGAAATGTGATCATGGAATCTTTGAATCTTTGAAGTAGATTTGTGTCCTACACATAAATCGGAGATCTCGTATATCTTTTCATACGTCAATAGCCCAGTGTCAAATGTGTAAGAAAGAAGTGTAATGACAATTATCCCACATCTATACACGGCATTGCCATCCATTCTGGCAGCAGACAGATAGGCCACCATTCTTCTCCGTTTTCTCAATACACGTCCAATCAACGAATCAATTTATCACGTGCGAGCTTTTGTGATTCATGAAGTTTTCCCATTCAGCCCTATGTAATCATACACTTCATTCGTTTCCAGCCTGTCCTTTCAACCATTAAATAACTCTCTACTGACACGAAAAATACAGAAACGCCTGGGCCATGCATGTTGTAAGTATATTCTTTGATCGTCAATCATCGCATCGCTTTTATCATTTGCGTCATTAGTATTTTCCTCTTTGTTTCACTCCACTCCTTTCCAACTCCCGGGCTATTCCTATAACCTTCCACAACCTGTTCTGAATTTCAGATCACGAAAGATCAAATCCAGCCCCCGCATTGACAGCATACAGCAATTTCTCTCTCAATTTCTCTTTGCTTTGATACCTCGGTAACTTCAGCAAGTTGACACACGTACTTGCACTGGGTAGTCTATCCTCATCTGAGCTACTATCCCTAATACTAAATAGTGGATTCAATGATCCAAATCCTAATAACGGTGCTCTTGGCGTACTGGTAACGTATTTGAGCACCTTTCTCCTATCCTCGTCTTTGAGTTCTTCCATGACCTGCCAGAACATCATGATCGTCGGGTGCTCGCGTCCATCGTGGCCGATCTGATATACCCCACCGTACTGTGTGTTCTCGCGAAGATCATTGATATTGATATCCGATGTCTCGCCGGAAATTAGGGTTTGAAGTTCAACTTGGTTGAACATGCTCAACCAGGAGGGATTTATGATTTGGCCGAGACCGCGAAGGAAAGCCTGCGTGAGCTCATAGGGCTGAATGTGGAGACGGTGGCGGACGACATAAGCAATGTAGAGGAGACGATTCTCATTTGTCACGGGTATATTAGAGCCATTAGGCATAAGATCTCGGGTGATAACTTTAGGGCGGCCACCAGGCATACCATTAGGAATCGTGTCGGTTATGGTAAAGTCGAGTGAGAAATCTTCGACATTTCCAGGATAGTTCTTGAGTTTTAGCAGCCCTTGATACAATCCTTCATCAAGATCACGTAGATCGTTCAAATTAGTACGGCTTGCTGCTTCTGGGCCAGAATTTGCAGCGGACCATTTGAGAAGAAAAAACCCAGCAAAATTAATGTCAATGAGAATACCTTCGTACAAACATTTTCCTACAATGCGGCCCAAGAAGTGCATGCGATTACGCAGATGTACACTATATGTCCTCCATTCAGGGCTTGTTTCGTTTATTCCCATCGATCTTAAGAATTCATAGTCTTGCTCCATAGCTGTTGGATTAGGGTAGAGTAAGTTTTGGTCATTCGTGACGAAAAGTGATGGATTGCTACCGTAATCTAAAGGATTACGAAATGCTTCATTAGTAACACTGGTAAGGAATTCTTTCGTTACTCCGCCGCCATCAATACCAGCCTCAATAGCACCAAAGCTGTCAACAAATGTGATCTGAATTGGCTCTTTGAGGCCTTCTGAAAGTGGAAAGAATGCCTCAAATGCATCTTCAAATACAGACTCTCGACTAATCGATGCATGATGTCTGCCAAGAGTTTCTCGTGCGGCATGTCGATTCTGTGCCATATTTGCCATACGCATACGCCATGAATCTGGATCGATAACTCCTGATCGCCTCTTGAGTTGATCCATCATGACGAACTGGCGAAATATCTCAACACGAGTTTCGAAGGGTATGACAAATGGCATATTTTGTAACACCTCAATCCTGGGCCCAATAGCAGCCATGATTTTCCTCTTGTTTATTTTTTGCTGATGCTTTCTTAACATATCCTGCTGTCTCATTTGAGACAGCAAGTGGCTTGGCCGAGTTGTACGACCCAGCATAAGACTTTGAACCGGCTCGTACTCGTCTGCATCTCCTTCAAACTCGTCTTCAGCTCCTTCGCCGTCGGCAACCTCTTGTCGCCTTTCTTGCTCCTTGATAACATCAAGAATAAAGCCTTTCATGTCAAAACGTGCCGTCATGAGCCAATGATCTTTGGGCAAAAATCGTCGTCTTGAATCTCGCTCATAAATCATGCGCATAACGCCGATTACAATGGTTCGCAAATAGTAAAATGTCATGCCCGAAATACCTGCGAATGGCCAACTCGAGTTACTTGTTGTTTGGCTCCCATCGGAAGCGTATTTTTCATCTTTTGTGAATTCGTTGTTGATGCCGAAATAGGTGCCTAAGCCACCCTCGATAACAGAATTATCATCACCAGAAAGTTCAGCAGCATTGTAATAAGTGGTGAACGAGATGTTCTTCAGAAAAAGGGTGAGTTTCTCGACAGCTTCTAATGAGAGTGCACTGCCTCGAATCTTTGAGGCAGTTCCACTCGCTTGATTCGAGTCTGTGCTACCTCCGAGGAAATCCTCGTCATCTATGAACTTTAACACAAACGTGTAAAGTTCTAAGAAAAGAAGAATGGTTCTCCACTCTCGATCCCTTGATATGACTTCTTGAGATAGCTCATTGCTGTGCTGTTTTTGGTATTGAAGGATTTCCAATGCAGCTCGCGAATCAGCCATGATAGCTTTGAAGGTGCTTGTTGAACTCATTGCCTCCCAAAGGAATTTGAGAGCCAACACCTCATTTCCATTGGAAGTCGTCACTGAGCTAGAGCAAAGCCACATTCGAATTTCATCGGCACGATCTGGGAAAATTCTTAGCAGGGTAAGGGCGTAACTTGCCAAGAAGCTTGCATCTTCCTGCCCCGCCGTTGACCCTTTGGCATAATCTCTAACACCAGATTAGCGATGACCAAGGGAGAAATATAACTGACTTACATGTTAAATTTTTTGAGTAGCCCAGTTATTGATTCTTTATCTAACAAAGACAACAATTTATTGCTTATAAACATGGGCAAGTTTTTGACAGACTGAACTTCACTTTCTTCACGTTCTCCTCTTTGGAAATTATTGGATGTTAGTTTGCGACCATCAATTCTGCCAATGAGATCGACGGAGCACGCCGATAATTGAAGTGACAGGGCTCTCAGTAGCTCAGATTCCTCTTCACGGTGCTCTTGCATGCGGGATATTGCAATAAAATGAGCAAGTAACCATAGCTTTGCCTCCGGGTTTGACTGCGAAGAAGAAATGCTTGGATAGTCGCGAACTATAGCGGCAGCTAGATGATTGCCACTCATTTTAGACGCGAGTACCTGTAGACCCCCAAGCCTAGATTCTAAATCTGGAATGGTAAGGAATCGAGATGCCATTGCTGAATAAACGTCCAATGAGACTTTGCCTATACTAATTAGGATACAAACAAGAAGAGGTGTTAGGGAAACTTACTAAATGATTGCCCCGGCGCTGAGGGAGAGACTTGGAGAGGAAAGAATACTGCCGAGACAAGCTCCGCACGCCATTCATCGGAAAGACTACCGCCAACTACGGCGCTCGAAAGAAAATCATAATAGGGAATCGCAATGTGTGACAGTATATTTCCATTCTGCACTAATATGTTCGACAGGAGCTTGAAAAGAACTCTGTTGTAGCTGGGCAAGGTACTATTGGATATGTCAGGATCCCATCAGTGACAAACATGTTGGGGAGATACGTACTGTATGAGAGCACTGAGTGTGAGTCTTGCTAACTTGAAGAGATAAGCTCTATACTCTGCTTGGGATATCAGTCTGGTATTCTTGTTATGAACGAACTTCCTGCCGAGTTCCGTCAATTGGGCTACATCATCGTCCCGCTCGGGGTTGCAAAACGCCATCAACAACTTTAATTGCTCGAGTGGAATGAGATCATCACTCCCTCCCTCGCAAGAACTATAGGTCGCCTTATATTGCTCTCGTCTTGCATCCGCAAGCTTGGTTCTACTTCTATGACCCCTCCATACTCTCTGGATTTTCTTTGCGGCGTTAAGTCTTTCCCTTTCCCTCTGACGTTGCTCCCTCTCTTGTTGCGCATGTGCCACTGTCTTTTGAGCACCAGAAGCTGAAGCCGAGGAGTTCCAAGTACTGGCAGCGAATGGATTCGGATTTTGACCAGAAAGGTTGACTTGTCTAGGTCTGCGAGAACTGCCACTGAATGTTTGAAACATATCTTCGACGGTAGAATTAATGTATATGGTATCGTTTTTCAAAAGCTTGACCCTTTGTTATGGATTGTGAATGAGTGTATCATGAACAAAACAGCATAACGAATTCTATGGGCGATCCAAACAGAGACCGATCGAAGATGGGCGAAGAATGATTGTGGTAGATGGGATTCTTCGAAATAGGTCGATGATAGCAGTATAACTACTACTATCAAAGAGTAAAGTAGGAAATGATAGGGTAAAGTGAATCACAAATATAGTATGAGTGGACGGTCGAAATGGTTTTCTGTGATCGTCGTCTATGAAATCCTTTTTCTTTTGAATTGCAATGTCTGAAGGCAATAGTAACAAAGTAATGTCATATACAACAGCCTCTTCCTCAAATGTTCCTCGGATTACGTTTGGCAGCAGCCTCATTATATGACGCCGCTTTTGATAACCCGACTGCCGATATCTCCAGTTGCCTTGTAACCTTATAAATCAACAGCATCCAGGTGGAATGATAGAGAAAGTTTTCCGATTGTCTTTTCTTATCGGTTTCTGTTTGTGATTACTTAAGCAAACCAAGATTATTCCCCTCATTGATAACTATTTGAGTTGGAGAGTTGAGCAGAGGTTTAAAGAACCAATCAACGACATCGATGGGATAGTACAAAGATTCACAAGATTCGTTGTATCATTAGTGGTTCACCTTACCCATGGTTATAGCTTTACTTATATATCTATGTTCTCTTGTGAGAGCAAGCCCTTGAAGCTGTGTCCTCTCTGCGCTCGAATCTATCAATTTCCTCGTGACTTGGAGAAGATGCCTACCTAGACACCATTCCAGTACGTTCTTGCTCTTTCACACTAGAGCGAAGCGAGAATTCCTTCCTCCACGGCAGTGGCCAAGGGGAGCGTCAAATTATATGTCTCTGCTGAATGATGCTTTCTCTCTTCACAACTTGGAATACAAGATTAATCACTCCTATTGACCACCAATGTATAATGAAAATTAAAAAAGCCCTTTCGGTTTGATAGGAACTGGTCGGCCCCTTGAAGAACCGACTATTAATGTAATACTGTACCTGCCTACCCAGTCACCCAGTAGCTTTCCTGTCCTTCTTTTTCTACAGATTATCGCAGATATCCATGGATTACATAATCATCTTGATCATTCACTTGATGAAAGATGAATCAGCTGTAGCGAATCACATGAGGGTTTCTTTCACTTACCCATCAGCAGATTATCAAGCTAATCCCAATCTAATTTAGTTAGTCTACGCACAGAAATTTCGAAAAAAGATTGAGTTTTATCTGTCGCGATTGTGATCTCAAGAAATCTCCTTCCCTTCCTTCTACAACCACAAAAAAAAATACAACCCACCGAAAAGATCTTACAATAGCGGTTTAAGTACGATTCCTTCGTGCTTTTTTCGTTCTTCTTCGCCCTTTTCAAATTAGAAAATCCCTCTTCTTTTAGAGATACAAAAAAATTTGAAAATCAAACTACAGAAACCCCAGAATTGCGATCGATACTTATTCTATCGACCAATTTTCGAAATACCTTCACCTTCCTTCCGAACTTAAGAATCTCCAACCTCAAATAGTCAGTCATATTTGTGCATTTGTCTTACGGCAGTGTGACATCAGTATTTCGATTTAATACTTAGTTCTGTACAGAATTATTTTCACGAATTTCTACCCCTCCTCAAACCTCGACCCTCTCATCAAACAACACATCTCGACATAAAGGTAACCATGCCACTTTTATACCCTTTCCCCTCTCTTTATGCCTTCTCTCATTATTCCCTTTGTCGGCTTATTGTTGTAAATTTCAATTTCGAAAAAATGATTTGGTTTTTGTTCATCTGGCTAATTTTTTCCTTTTTCAGTAAAATTTAGTCAACATGTCTGCCGCAACTCAAAATGCTGCTGTCGACCAGCTCGCCTCTGACCTCAACAATGCTTCCTTGAATGGAGATGCAAATGGCGCCGCTACCGTCAACACCGATGTTTCCAACGTCAACTCCGAAGACCAAGATGCCGCCGGTCCTACCCCCACCAATGCCCCTCACCCACAAGCTTCGGCTTCGCTCTACGTCGGTGAACTTGACACATCCGTCACCGAAGCTATGCTTTTCGAACTCTTCTCCCAAATTGGCTCCGTTGCTTCCATTCGTGTCTGCCGTGATGCTATTTCTCGCCGATCCCTTGGATATGCCTACGTCAACTACAACACCACCGCTGACGGTGAGAAGGCTCTCGAAGAGCTCAACTACACTTTGATCAAGGGCCGCCCATGCAGAATCATGTGGTCCCAACGTGATCCAGCTCTCCGAAAGAACGGTCAAGGAAACGTTTTCATCAAGAACTTGGATGTTGCCATTGACAACAAGGCTCTCCACGACACTTTTGCTGCTTTCGGAAACATTTTGAGTTGCAAGGTTGCCCAAGACGAGTCTGGAGCTTCCAAGGGTTATGGTTTCGTTCACTACGAGACAGATGAGGCAGCCGCCCAAGCTATCAAGCACGTCAACGGTATGCTTTTGAACGAGAAGAAGGTCTTCGTTGGCCATCACATCCCTAAGAAGGACCGTCAAAGCAAGTTCGAGGAAATGAAGGCAAACTTCACCAACATCTACGTCAAGAACATCCCAGTTGAAGCCACCGAGGAGGAGTTCCGTGAGTTGTTCGAGAAGTTCGGTGATGTTACCTCAGCTTCCCTCGCCCGCGATGCTGAATCCGGCAAGAGCCGTGGCTTTGGTTTCGTCAACTTCATCAACCATGAGCATGCTGCTACTGCTGTTGATGAGCTTAACGGCAAAGACTTCAAGGGTCAAGATCTCTATGTCGGCCGTGCACAGAAGAAGCATGAACGTGAGGAAGAGCTCCGCCGTTCATACGAAGCTGCTCGCATTGAGAAGGCTTCCAAATATCAAGGCGTCAACCTCTACGTCAAGAACTTAGATGATGACATTGATGATGAGAAGCTCCGAGAGTTGTTCCAATCATTCGGATCCATTACCTCCGCCAAGGTCATGCGTGATACCCCTGCCGAGACCGCTGAAGCTGAGGAGAAGAAGGAGAAGGACGATGAGAAGAACAAGGAAAACAAGGACGCTAAGGAGACCAAGAAGGAGGGCGAGGCTGAAACTGAAGAGGCCTCTGCACCAAAGGCAAAGCGCTCTTTGGGTAAGAGCAAGGGATTTGGTTTCGTTTGCTTCAACAACCCAGATGAGGCTACCAAGGCTGTCTCTGATATGAACCAGCGCATGGTCAACAACAAGCCACTTTACGTTGCTCTTGCTCAGCGCAAGGATGTCCGTAAGAGTCAATTGGAAGCCAGCATTCAAGCTCGCAACCAAATCCGCATGCAGCAAGCCGCTGCTCAAGCTGGTATGCCACAACAATACATGCAAGCTCCAATGTTCTTTCCTCCAGGAGCTCAACAACCAGGTTTCCTTCCCCAAGGTGGACGTGGTATGCAATTCCCACCTCAAGCTGGTATGCCAATCCCAGGTACCCAAGGAGGCCGACCTGGTCAATTCCAAGCTGGTTTCCCTCCACAACAAGCTGGTCGTGGTGCACCAGCTGGTCAACAAATGCCACCTAACATGTACGGTATGGGCCCAGGCCAATTCCCTGCTGGCGGTCAATATCCTCAACAAAACAACCCACAATTCTTAGCTGCCATGCAAGCTGCACAACTCACCGCCGGCCGTGGTGGACCAAATGCACGTGGGCCAATGCAAGGTATGCCACCAAACATGGCTATGCCTATGGGTCAGCAAGGAATGCCACAATTCCAACAAGGTGCTAGACAAGGTGGTATGCCTGGTCGTGGTGCTCAAGCTGGTCGTCCCGGCCAATTCGCTGGTGGCTTCCCTCCACAAGCTGGTCGTGGTATGCCACAACAGATCCCAGGAATGCAACAAGTTCCTCAAATGGCCCAAGAGGGTGGTGTTCCAGCTACTATGTTGCAAGCCCAAGTTCAAGCAGTTGCTCCTCAGCAACAGAAGCAAATTCTTGGAGAGGCTTTGTTCCCTAAGATCCAAGTTTTGCAACCTGAATTGGCTGGTAAGATTACCGGAATGTTGTTGGAGATGGAGAACCAAGAGTTGATCAATCTGTAAGTAATAACCAAGGAGCTTTCAGCCCTATAGGTATCGTCGTACTAACAATCTCATAGTATCGAAGATGATGCTTCTCTCCGCGCCAAGGTTGACGAAGCACTCACTGTCTACGATGAGTATGTCAAGAACAGAGGTGAAGGTGAAGGCGAGGCTGGTGAGACCAAGGAGGGTGACGAGAAGGCTGAAGAGAAGGCTTAATTGCCCACTCTCTTCTGCCATTAATGACCTTTTTTCTACACTTTACTTTGGCGTCTTGTCCGACTCTTCTGCTACGGTACGGTTCCGGAAAAGTTATTTATGCTTTGGTGGCAATATTTCGGTCCTACTTTTTATCACATTCTTCACGCGCGGAACGATATTTTTCTTGTGGTCAATGAATAATTATCTTCTATTATTCATCTTATGGAAGGGCAAATATTTCAACCAGTTACATGTACTCATAGATTACTCCTGTGCTCAACGACTCTTGCACTACTCGACGGAGGTACAATTTTCTTTTTCTCGTTGAAAATTGCATACGCTTCTAATGATTAAATGTTATTGCAAGGTGTGGCTAGTTGGCAATGGAGGGAATAAACAACAACACCTTAATTTCTTTCTGCTTTTTTATGACTATCTTCAGTCCATCCGCTCGATTTGAACTGATGGCGATAACCTCGATGGGGTTCTCCACCTTTTCCTTTAATCATGAATGGATGACGAATATGAAATGAGGGGTATTGGCATGGCAATTCAGTTTTCTGGGTGGGCATGGATTGGGAATGTGACAGCGTGAACAGAATTAGATTAGGGTTCTATTATAGATAAGATAAGTGGTTAGGGGAGTAAACAAGAAATCAAAAAAAAACATTGCAAATTAATCATGAGCCTTAGAGTTACGTGGATGTCGTGAGGATTGTGAGTATTATGAGCGCCTGTGCGATGCTGCTGTGATTCAAATGTGATCCAAATGATTGATACAGTGAGATATTCTAGTTTGATTTGGATAATGGGAGGTCGATTATCAGACTAACAGCCAAAACCGAGTCGCTCTCGGCTGAATAATAAGGAATACAAGAATTTGATATCCGATTTCGAGCGAGTTACTTGGATGTTCGGAAGGAATGTATAGTTGACAACCAATGAAAATGGCATACTAGGTTAATTATACAATCGCCAAGTGGCGGGAAGATTCAAAGATTTACTAATAGGTACCTAGATTGATCCTGTGAAATGAAGTGTTTGAAAAGTTGTGGGCGGTGAATTCATCCATTAAGTTGTGATGGTTTGCGAAATGGAAATGGAAACGGAGGTGGAAGTGAAGATATGACGTTCTTGGGGGACGGGAGGGAAGTATAGCTTATCGATTTACGTTGCTCTTAAGGAATCAGGGTTGAGAGATTATGGGATGATAGATAGGATTTTAATGGGGAGGCTTGGGGATCGAGGTGTGTGGTTTGCCTCGTAAGTGGGAAGTCGTATGGGTGAGAACGGAGATGGGGTAGGTTTGGGGGAAGGTGTATGATGTGAGGTTGTTTTACGCTGATGTGAGGGGATTAGGGGGGGTCTGGAGTGGAGCGAAAGTTGTCTTGTGGTGGGTTTGATATTGCGAAATATGTATGTGATACGGTCGTGGAGTTACAAAGTTGTGCAGAAGAAGTTGTGTAGAGTCATTTTGTTTTGTGACAAAAGTGATGATATTCATTTGTCTCGAAATCGATGAGGGAGTAGCTAGGTAGCTATGCTAATTAGCTTAGGAAACTTCTATGCTGTATTATTCTAGTCTTGCTATCTACAATTGAAAACAGGTTCCCAACATTCCCCAAGCCATATGCAAGAGGAAGCTCCTTGGAATAGATCATTTAGAAAGTTAAAGCCTCCCACCTTGCATTATCAATAGCCAAATATGCTTGCTCATGGAAGTTACATATCCAAAATTGCTCGCAATTCTGCACCGAGAGTCTCTTCAACACCCATATTTCCAGTTACCTGCCTTTCTTGGACACAGTCCAACAGCACTGCCGATGGACCAACTCGAACTCATAGTCATTTTTGCATTCCTTCGCTTCCCCTATTTCGTCAACGAGATCGTGTAAGAATGAATGATCACAGTTCTCTAGAAAGTTCTCTTTAGCGTATGCAATTGTCATTGCCAATGTAGCTTTAAGATCATCGTCACCAACATCATTATACGTTGCAGAAAGTGTCTTCAGGTTGTGTACCCTAGGCACACAATTGGAGTCTAGCACTCTAATGATGGAGTCGAACAATTTAATGGTCCTTGACTGGTGATTTTTTCGCCGAAAGGTTTTCATGAGATCCTCGAGTACGCTGATTGAGAAACTAGGGTTGCACAAATATCTACCGAAAAAAAACGGATCATAATTGATGCACTGTGCAATTGTCACAGCGCAATGAAGAAGTGTTAGCTTCATGCGGGGTGACAAGAAGCCTTCAATGCATTCCCCACAAGTACATCCATACTTTAGTCTGAGAGCTTGGGTGTTTAGAGGAGAGCTGGGCAGATATCTGTATTTCAATAAAGACAGACAAGCGATAGCTCCGAAAGGAAGACCGACGAGCTCGTCAAAGATATCGAATTCATCCTGCAAGGCCTCCAGCGGAGTCAGCCCCTCGATGTTCCGAGCCTGTGCTAATTCCTGCTCCGGATCAATATTCTTTATCAACCATTTTGTAGCGTAGACTTTATGCGCACATCCTGCTTGGTGTAGCACATTGTTGTGGTGAGTGTCAATCTCCTTCCACCCACTGCCATTCTTGTCGTCAAAGCTTTTGAAAAAGGCTACTAGCTCAGCATCAGACAGCGTTTGAATGGCGTGCTTTAGTGGAAATCTTTGCTTCAATTTTTCCAGCCTCTTCTATGCGGCTTCATCGAAAGAGTTCATTGATGAAGTTTCAACGATATCCTCGTCGTCGGGTATCTCCAGTTCCTCGTCAACTCTTGGTGGATCATAATCGGCGTGGACGTTGATAGAATGGGCCTTATGCTTTGGATCTACTGAAAAGCCAAAATAACTTGAAGAGCCAATGCGGCGGAAACCAAGAGAGCGATAAAATGCAATAGCGGAGTCGAGAGCTTGACGTTTTGTGGCGCGCCTCTCGCGGTTAGACTTGTCATAGGCTTCCTCGGAACAATCATCAACAATTCAATTAGGTTTCGCGATTACATGGAGTCTCCGAAAATGATGTGCCTGCGCCTGTGATTTTTGAATCAGCGCCTTGACCATAGCTCGACCCAACCCCTTGCGACGAAACCTCTTGTCAGTGATTTCAATTTCTTCCAACAAAACCAACGGGCCGACGTCCATCTCAGCTCCCCATGCACCAGTACCTCGTTGTATTACGTGATCCTCAAACTTGCGAAGTAGACAGCCGAATTTAATGAAAAGTTCATTGGCCATCTCTTCCATCTTACAACTTGGTGATTCCATCATGTTCAAGAAATTGGATTTGATTCCCTGCCGATGAATATATCTACTAACAGCACGGCCAACCCAGCCACCTTTGTGGGAGCACTCAACACGAATGTTATCCAGCCATTTATTATCTTGTTCAGCTTTGGTGACGTGGATCGAAAGCATGCATTGCGCTTTCGTGCCTTTCAAAATGTGAACTTTCGTTTCGATATTTTTGGGTGAATAGTCGTCATCGTCATCACCAGACTCGTATTTGCATTTATCATCTAAGTCGTAATCGCATTCACGATATTCTTCGAAATCGTCGTGGGTTTCTTCATCAAACTCATCGAAGACCAACTCTGATACCAGCGAGGAAGTAAATGGTGAAGCAGAGTGGTCGGCTGTCAGGTCTATAATTGTTTTCTCGCTGTTCACAGGCGATACATCTTCTTCTGTGGAAGCTATAAGATAAGCAAGTCAGTTAAAACTCCGGGACAAAGCACAACGATAACTGAATTGCAGCTTACAAATCTTCTCAGAACGATCAATCTTTGTTTTCTTGGATACGTTAGATGGCTTCAAATGCGAAGCAGGATTTTCACCGCCAGCCTTTCGCTTTTCATGAGCTTTTGTCGGAAAATCCGCCATGATTGATGGTTATGGAGGATGTCTTGTAGTTTGTTGAAATTTGAATGCGACAAGTTTGAAAGAGTTCTTTTCAGGATTTTATATCTGCAGGAAACTGTACCTTGAACTTGAAACGCTAGTTTGTCAAGCACAACGGAAAGAGATTCGAGAAAGCCACTAGAGTGAGTGAATATTTGAAAAGACATGTATGAAACTCACTGTATTGGGTAGATACCGTATAGTGTCAACGCCAGGTCCTGTGATTTGGGGGTAAACGTCCATCGTAGATGTTTGCCAATGTACGGAAAGCGGCATGTATCATCGAAAGAACTTCAACAAAGAAGAGTTAAAGGGGTACAGCAAGTGCAACATACCCGCACTACTATGCCATACAAAGTACCAAGCATGAGCTTTACTGCAGCAGCTTCTATACGTCTGCTAAGCAAATGAGTCCCCAGAGGTTTAACATGTGTGACTTCATTGAGTGGCTCTCAACCAGAGTGACAAGTTCCCAATTTTCTGCTTCAGAAAAGATGATAATTCTCGGGCTTTATTGTTGTAAAATGAGATCGAATAATGATAATGCCCCAGACTAGGTAGATGCACATGAGTATGAATTTTTTTTGAAGGATACCTACTACGTAATACTGAGAACCGTTCCGTACGGCGCTTCATTGCTTGCACGTGCTTGCTATGGTTCTTGCCTATTATGGATAGGTGCTGGTAGTGAAGCTTGAGGCATTAACACTTCACCATCAACTTTGAACTTCCAAATTCTCGAGCTTCTTTTTAATCGATAACAACAGATTGTCACTTCAACTCAAGTGGTGTAGTGTATTCTTAGAATTCTATGATCTGAAAGAGAAGGCAAAACTTCATATCTATATTCATTATGACCGACTCATCGATTGCGGTTCCTCGAAAGCGCAAGTCTGATGCGGAAATCGATACGTCTACAGAATTATCGGCTGCTGTTGATGGTCTCACAGTCACAAACACACTGGCAAATAAATCTAAGATAGTCGAAGGTGTAAATGTCTTGGTATCTGATGACTTGAGTAAGTTGGGATGTACAGATTCAAACAGCTCTCAAGTACTAAGTTTCTCGCAGTTTCCACAAATGGAAGCGAGGTCGATGTTAATCACAACTATCATCAGCCTACTGTTTCTGATGCCGAAGAGTCAAATGTTGGAACGTCTGAAGAATTTTCAGAGGATGGGTTTGATGGCGAGAATGATAGACTTCAAGATGAATACTCGTATGAAGATGAAGATGAAGATTCGGAGGTTCGTGAGTATGGAGTCGAGGAGCGCGAAATTACTATCCAGAAAGATGGTACGGAGAAAGTAGTCAAGTTGAGACTCTTTGTGACGAAGGGCGAAGAGTTTGCAGATTGGCTTCACATGATTCATGTCCACTGTATCGTCGATGGCAAACAAATTGGCCATGCCTTCGGTCAATACATCTGCCGGGAAGAAATCAGAAGGAACTTTTGGAGCGATATGGAAGCCCCAAGCAGAGAGTTATCTTTAATTGCATTCGAGCTCTTCGATCGTTATGGATACCTCAATGGTCACCTCAAAAATCATTGTGTGCAAAAGGGTACAGGTGTATGGGGAAGCGAGTTGGATTTTGGCTCACTATTTATACTGGAGCATATCGAGGTGACTGAAAGAGAATACAGACGAAAAGGATTGGGACAAGCCATGGTTGGTGGCCTCATCAATAAGGCAGAAGGACTACTACACAAGCCATCCCCTCCAAGTACTCTGGAAGACAAAATGTACGAAGAAATGCTCTGGTTTGGACGAAATAAGGAAAGAGAGCGTCGTGCGAAAATCCACACAATTTCGATGCCTGGTTGTCTCCGCCATGACGTCGAACCTCAGTGTGAAGGTAAATTTGAACTCGAACAGCGTGAGATCAATTCTCGAGCTTTCGATTCTGCTATACTATTTCATCGTTCCCTTGGCTTTCGAAGAATTGGCGCATCGAGCTGTTTTGGTCTATCATGCGACCCCAACCACAAGTCTCATTCACTCTCAATCCAGGATGACTTCGATCCACCAAAGCCACCATCAACACCTGCAGAAGAACAGGAGGCGATAATAATCACAATGCCCGGTGAAGAAGAAAGCGTTCATGCATCTGCTTACAGAAAGGAACTGGAAGAAAAGAGACTAAAGAAATTGAAGGAGAAATTGACACCCTTAAACTTTGCGGCCATTTCTCTTCCTGACATTGAACTCATAAAGTTCTACAAGACATTCCATGCCAAAGATGAAAATGAGTGGAAGCAAGTTGACAATCGCAACAACACCTTGCTACATATCACGGCATGCCAGTTCAAACCCCAAAGCGTAAAGTGGCTAATGGATAATGTGAACGACAAGCAGTTCTTGACATCGGCTCGCAACATCGATGGATATACCCCTCTTGAAGCATTACAGCATAAACTCGACATCATCAGAACACGACGCGAACATGGAATGATGACACTCGTCATCTCAGATAACTTTGCTGGCTTTACTTCCGACGCTACCAGCTGCCAGTTTGTGCTACTGACTGGATCGACGCCTACAAATCCATCGGATACTCGGCTCTTACTACAGCTTAAATGTGGATGCACCTGCGGAGAATGCGTCGGAGGCTTTCTATCGCCGCGCATGAAGCTGGCACTTCTTTTCCAAGCCGAAACAAATTATGACAGTCTGAATGATTCGATCCACATGAGTCTCGGAGATGACGGCGTTGATTGGTTATGGTTGCAAGAAGGCCTCATCGAACACGTTCATCCGAATCTCCAGCAAAACTTCAAGACAAACAGATCACTCCGTCAAGGTTTCGCTAATATGTTCAATTTTATTGCGATGTGCTTGAAAGCCAACAAGCCACCCACGAGAAAAAATGTTCTGAAAGTATGCGAAGAAACGAGGGAATGGCCACCCGTAACCAGCAACTATCTTCAATGGGGCGGCACGCTTGAGAACAAGGTCGAAGCAGTATTAGAAAAGGTATTCAAATATGCACACGACCAGAATGAGATTTTTGGCGATGGCGAGTTTATGAGCTGTTTGGAGGAAGATATTGAGCAATTGAAGATATGCAGGAATGACCACGAATATGGATTCGTGGCTAAATGTTGTGGCTTGCCAACACGTAACACGAATCCATCGGGAAGACTGGAGGGTATGTTCCAGAGAATGTTTTCGGGTATGCAGTAATTGTGCTAAATGGGTTCGTGCGGTATTAATGGATGGTTGAATGTGTATGGCTAGGTACTATTGCATGTGCTTTTAATGTTGCGATTTGTGCTTAGCTGGCTAGCTTCTATGAGAAAGAATTAAAACCTCTCAAAAGAATCATATACCTTGATATCATTGCTCTTGAATATTAAGATTTTTACTGTAAATTCATGGGCCGACTACCCATCCACCTTGAGAGTCTGAATAAATACGAGTTTGACACAATGAAAAAGGGCTAATTCATCTTTTCCAAATGAGAATCTTGAAAGCGATCTTTTGTATGTATAATTAATTGGGCCACTTATTAAGCTACTCACTATCTCATTCCGATTTCCATGCCGTGTTTCGCATTCCTCATTCACGAGGAAGAAAAGATTCGCTAAAGAGTGGTGTGTTGAATACTTAGTATTCTTTCGCAAATTCCTGGTCACGGATTCCCAAGCCATAATTGCAATCGCCACCCGATGTCCCATATCTTCAATTCCATCCCGATTCCATAAACGCCGAGCTCTCCTAACAAAATTTCGAGAGTTAATGCCGCCTTGGCAGGTACAATAGAAGTGCATGTATGTGCATCGCATCACTCCAGCAATCAAAACAGAGAAAGAGCAAAAAAGAGCAAACTCAGCCAAACGCCACCTGCCTTAAATTAAAATCAGATCGTCTACTTAATTAGTCAATCTTCGCACTGGCCAAAGATTTGACTAGTGGATTGGTAAGATTGTTTGCGAGACGTATGTGAGGAGTACGCTTCTGCTTGTTATGTTTTCGTAAACGTTTCCGAGCAACCATGACGGGGACTGATGATTTTGTAACCAGATAATTAGAGAATGATCCCAAAATAACACTGCCCATCATTAGCTTTCGGTTTTCTTGAAGATTGTTGATAGAATTGGAAACGTACCCCTTCAAAGCACTTCTCCCACGGCTCCCCAATATAACTAGGGTTGGGTTGACGTAGTCAATCACTTCGGTGATCAAGTGCTTCGGATTTTTACAATGAAGAACTTCGATATTGACTTGTACTTGCAGCTTTGTCTTCCTTAAAAGATCCGATACTCTATCCGTGATGTCTTCTACGGCTCGGAATCGATCCTGTTCGGCTTTGCTTCTCGAGTCTCTCCCCATTGGACTGGCCGCTCTACTGCCCGGATCTAATCTGAAGCTGTGATTTAGTTGACCCGGTCCTAGACTAGGCGTCAGTAAGGGGGTATTGGCACGAGATGCTCTAGCAGATCTTTGAGCCGAAGCAATAGCAGATATTTGTTGCTTGATCTGGGCATCATCACCGCTGTTGTCAGGAGTTATAATTCCAAGCTCTTCATCAACACAATAGATTGCAAGCATTGTATCGCCATCCCTCAATACTGTCCCAATAGTCCATTCCAAAGCATGTGCTGCCTCATCACTGAGATCCGTTGCGACAAGATACTTCCTGGTACGGCGTTGGTTCTCGCGGGCTTCTTGTTGAACCTTCTTGAAATCTCCACGGTGTATTGTACGTACGCAGCGTGATGTCGTTGGGGTAGATCTTATTGCAGTCATGGTCAGTGAAAGACTTTGAGCCTTTTTAACGTCGCCGCAATCTGCTTCAGTATCTGAATCATGTGGACTAGGTTCACCAGAGCCGTCCGGATCGAAGCTCGTATGCGGATGTACCACGGGCTTATTTGGTTTGTGTCCAGCAGGTCCTGTCAAGGTGATTTCTGGGTCAAGAAGTGATTTGACTTTGTACTTCTCATTCAAAGCTTCCTTGGCCACGACATCTTGTCCTATATAAAATGTGAGTTTCTGACACCGTATTGAGGGTATGTTATACGTACGTTCTGCCTCAGCAGCAGCCATTTGACTTAAAGGTGTTCTTGGACCTTTCGCTTGCCCCATTCCCAAAGTTGTGCTTTCTCGCTCGGAATCGTCTCCATCTACACTTCTCGCCTTCTTTCTGCGCCCTCTGGGACCTTCATCGTCCGATTCATCCGTACTGTCAACGACGCTTTCCTCGCCTTCCATTGGCACATAGTCTTTCTTCAGTCGAGGTCCATTAATGTCGAAATATTCATTATCTGGCCGATTTTGCCTGCTCTTTTGACTTAACATGGATAATTCACCGTTCGATCGCGCAAGGTTGGCATCCGACAATCGTTGATAAGCACTGTTGACGTCTATAACTTTGCCATTGTCCAAAACGGCATATTTCGAAGGATCTGCGGGAACTGGGGAACTAGAACGTGGGGAAAACCGATTGTGAGGCGACTTTGATTTCGCCGCAATGCCACTAGCACTTCCGATTGAATTGTGTCTTTCCCTATCACGCCCGCCTCCAAAGCCGCTAAGATCTACGCCTGATCTTACTACCTCTGCCATTGAATTCGTAATCCTCTTTCCTGCTTGCGTGTTGCGTTTCGGGACCGAAGGACCGCCTGGGTTACTTGGTAGATAGCCAGAGAATTGATATTCGTTAGGGTCGACCCTGGTGATTGCTCTAGGTCCAAATTCGATGGTAGATTTTGCTGCTGCATCTGACGAGCTCCTCGATTGTCTACCATTTTTGGCATGCGTCTTGTGATTTATCGCTGTCGGGGAAGTCTGCGCACTTCTAGAACCAGATGCTGTGGGCGCAGTAGAAGAAACATCAAGCATACTTCGTACGGCAGGCGACGTTGTCAATGGTGTTTTAACATCCAGCATACTTCGAACTGGGGCAGTGGTTCCTGTGCTTGTGCCACCAATAGATGAATGTCGAGTTTTCGCTGGAGCGCTATCAATATCTAACATACTGCGGACAGGAGACCTGGCCATATTCGCAAATGGTGATAAACTTCTCCCGCCACCAGGTCGATGCCCCGAACCGGTGGAGCTCACCGAGCCTCTGGGTCTAGCATTGGTCGAATGCAATAATGCGAGCACCTCCTGTCTCTCCTGCTCTGCTGCCGATTCCTGCGATATGTTTTTGTTCGCCATATTTAATGATTCTAATGGATTCAATCGAATTTGCTATTCTGCAGATGCTCGAGAAGCGGCAGACAATAAATCTTATTGTATCGGTGTTATTCTTCGAGGGTTCCGTCGGCGATGTAATGAAGCTCACTAGGTACTCGGTAGGAAGGGCAAGATTCGAAGAAGGCAAGAGCAACGAATGCTCATAGATTTGAGACTAGCCGTTTAGAAACTTTCTTGATGACCAAGGAAGTTTTTGATACTGCATTGTGGTTGTTGGAATGATCTTTGGGTTCGCACTCAGGACATTGCTTTTAGCCCCGGTCGTTGGTACGTGTGATATGAAGGATAGTATAGAAATGTTCTGCAGTGATGGGAAGATTGTTAGAAAGTGGTGAATGCATCAACTGATCTATTGAAAAGCAGTGTTCCTTGAGAGAAGATAATCTTGCAGATTGAAAGATGTTGTGTATTATATATTGTATTGTATTGTATTGTACTGGGTTGGGTTGGATAGGATAGGATTGGATTGGAATGGAATGGATTGTGTGTGTAGGGGTTGAGTTTGAGTTGAAGGTGGAGAATCGATGTTGTGTTATTTTTATTCCTAGTACATGGTATGGTATGATATGGGATGGGATGGTATTTGGGGAATGGGGGGGGGGGGTCTGTGTATGGGCGTATGGCTGTGTATGGCTTGTATGGGGATTATAAGTATGAATTGTTGGAGCCTTTTCGTATTAAAAGTCCTAGATGTTCAATAAAAGAGGGACGGCAAACTAGTAATAATATGGAATAAAATAAACGGTACGGAGTAGGTAAGGAATATGTACTGTACCTAATAATAAAGATAATAATGATAATAATAATCAAACTAACAAAGAATTGACACGTGCACCCGCCTATCAAGTGAAGAATGAATGGTCTTTTTCTTTTCTTTTCTTTTCTCCTCTCCTCTCCTCTCCTCTTTCTGTTTGAGGTGAAGGAGGCGAACTTGGATATGAGTGAGTGAGTGAAAAGATAGTGCCGGTACCTAGATGGGAAGCTGGATGGAAAAATGTATACAGAACAGAGTATGGATGTTCCAGATATTGAATGATCTTCCCAATTCCGAGTCTTCAATTGGGAAAAGGGGGCGAAATACGAATTGAATTGTCTTTTAAATTCAAAGGGAGATCAAAAAATGAATCAGAATAAGAAAAAAAATTGAGATATCGGATCTTACAAAAAAAATCAAAAATCAAAAATCAAAAAGAATAACTACAATAATATATAAATTTCGTACGTGAAGCTATACCCTATCCTTCTCTAGCTGCAGACCAGTAAAGGCGGGGGAGGATGATCTTACAAAGCGGCCCAAACCGTAGCGGGCGGAAATCCAAAATGGGTGGTAGAGAGGTGGTAGAGAGGTGGCCATGGGTGGTAGATAGTAAGATTCAAGTAGTAGTAACAATAATAACAATAATAATAAGAAGAAGAAGAATTCAACAGAATCCTAGATATTTATCCTCTTATCATTCTCTCTCTCCTTCCCTCTTCCTGTGAACCATTTACATCAATTCTTCCTCCAAGTTCAACCATCCATCATATCAAAGATCGACCTGGATATGATGATATGATAGATGATACCAACACATACCACCACCACCACCTACCACCACATATCACGAAACACCCAATTCCCCTTGACGAAAATGCCAAGCCCCTTTGTTCCCTTACAAATCCGATAGATGTCCATCAATAGTTACACCAATTCCAGCTTCCCATCTCTGCATGGCTCGCTTTTCTATCCGCGTGCTATCCCCATCATGAGATGCTTACCTAGTATGTTAGTCACAATCCCCTCAAGTCTTCACAATCCCCAATCCCAGCCAGAAACCTCATACAGTATGATACAAGGAGGACCGCCACAACCAAGGCGCAGTATCTTGGCCGTGTTAATGAACCTCCTCTTGGCTCCACTCAATGCATTTTCTCCCCCCTCAAGCTTTTCTGTAACCTTTTCATCAAGACTCATCAAGACTTGTCAAGCACGACAAGAAAGTCTTATCTCTCGCTTTGCTTACCTACCTACCTATCCCTAGCACTCTTTTCCCACATCCATCATATCATCATATCATCGTGCCAACCCCGCCTCACATCATCCCCTCACTCCACTCCACCCAATTCCCATCCCCAGACACTTTATCCTCACCCCTCCACGATACAACATCAATCAGCGACTGCATGCACCACCCCAACCCTTGGCATCGCATACCGGCACATCGTTCATCCCGTCATTCACCTCCCTCTCTCTCCTCCCCATCTCTGCCTGCCCTACAGCTGAGAACACACCACTCTCCCGTCGCTCGGCTCCCGTGCCAAGCCTGCCAGCACGCCCAGCTATCTGCTACTATCTACACGGTCGCAACTTCTAGACTCCCAAATCACACTTCCCATTCCGTAAAATCATCACCATCACGCAAAGCATGACTCAATTCCTGACAAATCGATTCATCCACCATAGTCCTCCACAAACATACCGCACACAATTCTCACTAAAGCACATGTATACCGATGTACCTCCCCTGTACAAGCTGTATACCACCCTCCAACGAAAGTAAGTAAGTACCCCTCCATCCTCCCCAAACAGGAAAATCCCCAAAACAGTCCTCCGAGATACAGATACCTCGGATATCCTTCGGATCATCTACCTAGGTATGAATTATCGAAAATCTATCCGAGATGCTCAATTTACTTGTGCAGATCATCGAATGATCTTGGGTAGGTAGTACAACTTCTTTATCTCGATCAGTGGCCTCGTTGGTATGGATATATTGCATCGGAAAGTCGAAATTCATTTAGTACACCATTTAGCAACATTACACCGTCACGTTTAATTAATATCAAGTTCATTAATATATCCAACAATATATCCGATAGTACAATTTACGTAGAAGTCTTTCCAGCTGCCTAATATACCATACATTGAAATGAATACTCTCTAAACTCCAACTCAATAACAATCCAATAACGCATCTTGAGTCACATCGCCATGATAACATAATTCCAACCCAGAAACCTCCAATGACAATGACACGTACATGCACAGGTACCTTCATCCAAGTTCCAACGTCGACCCATTCATTCATTACCTATCCACAAATGCCAGTGCCAGTGCCACACCTCACATCCAAACTATATTTCTACTTTCCTCTTTCACATCTAGTTCAGCCCTGCTACTACCGGCTGCAACAATTCTATCTCCACCTTTCTTTCCACCTCCTTTCCTCTCCCATTCATTCTCACCACACCATCCCAACATCCTATCTGCACCACCCACGGAAAATCCGTTGGTCAACTCTCCCAAATAGTCAGCACTACACTACTACCGCTACCCGCCCTACCAGTAAACATCCCAACGACCTGCACGTGCAATACTCCATCTCATCTCACCCCTTCCCTAAAATCAAAACCATCCATATCACACCATCCCAAACCCTCACCCTCACCCTCACCCCTCAACCCTCACCCTCACCCCCAAGCCGGAACACTATCCAGCGCCCCAGCTCCTCACCACCATCCACGCCCCCCTATCCACCAATCCCACGCCACCTGCATGCAAAGGAAGCGCTCAATTTCTCGCTCCCGCAAAAAGCAAAAATACCCACCCACCCTACCGTACGTATACGCCACATCACAACGTCCTCAGATGCTCACCGCCAAGTCTCAGGACCTAATGCATGATAAGCGCATAACACCCAGGTACCTAGGTAGGTATCCATGAATATGTAGATGCGAAGTGTGGCTGCAAAAAGTCGTGAAATTGGTGAGCTCACCGCTCAGTTCAAAGCGAATTAACCAATAGTAAGTTAGCGAATTCAATAGAGCTTAAGCTTTCAATAAAAAGGAAAAAAGAAAACGATATCGGATAGCAAGACTTGCAGAGGTGAGGTCATTTTAATCGAGTTAAGAAATGAAAAGAAGATGTGAGGGCTAAAATGGCGAGGTTGGGAAAGGAGGTAAGTTGAATACGACAAAAGCCGCAGATATATGGATAGATTTTGATATCATATGCATCCCCAAGTATCATGTAACATGTACCATTTTTTCGATGTCATAATACAATAATTTTACAACCCCCACCGCACCAAATATACCCATTCCCACACCCGTATCCCATGCCGTGCCCAATCTGATGAACCTATCATCTCCTTCTTTTGGAGTAAAAGGTCAAATTTGCTCTCGCGCTCGTACCGGTCTTATGTACCAAAATCCTCTTTTCCCAAACTGAACTCTTGCCTTCCACCACACTGATAATCTCCTCTGCAAACCTTTGTGCGAACATTCCACGCCCACTGCTCCTCGATTGTTTCTTGCTGGCCGAATCTAATATCCATTTGATAGCTTGTCTTCTCCTCTGTCTAACGCCCAAGGGTACGGGGATTTGAAGAGACGCTCCACCACCTGCAGCACCTTTCTGAGAACGAATACGTAAGAGAGGAGCGATGGAGTCGATAGCGGTAGTAAGATAGAGAACGGGATTTAGAGGAAGGTGGGATGGTGGGGGTGTGCCCGGAAGGAGGGGTCTGGCGGGGTTGGGTGTGGGTGGGGAGGCGGTTCGGAGATGGTTTAATATGAAAGACATGTTCTGCATTGAAAATATCGTAGATTAGCAAATTATTCTGCAATATCATAACATTAATCCCATGCGCAGCGAGTAACGCAAAAGGAAAGAACTAACGAGCCTACCCTCTGGGCAACACTCTTCTTGCCATGCTGCATCATCATGTTCGTAACCTGCGAAACGACGGGGTCGTATCTATATTTGAGGTTGTTGTTCGAAGGAATTGGTAGTTCTGGAAGTCCAAACTTGTGAACATCGATTGTAAGATCAGAGGCATTCGCGCCGTTTTCCAAATGACCGAGACGACCAAGAGCCATGAGATTGGCAAAGGAGACTTCATGGGCGAGGGCAGAGGCGGATTGGGTATCTTTGATATCTTCTTTGATAACTTCTGGGGCCTTGTCCTTTCCTTCCTGATCTCTCTTAAGAATCTGTGTCTATGGTTAGTAACTGTCATTCTCTGGTATCACAATGCTTCTTCATTTTTCAAATATGATTGGCGGAATTGGACCCCAGAAAAGAATGTAAATACCTCTTGAACATTTGTACTCTTTCCCATATCAGGAGGAGTCTCTCCAGTGATTTCAGCCATGTCTCTTGCCTCTTCACTGACGTGGCCGGCTACGTCTTCATCAGATCCATTTCTTGGAGGTTGCTTTCCCTCTGCGAAACCTCGACGGGCTGCTGGGGTAATTTTGAAGAAAGCAGGATTTCGAGGTGCGACAACTGTTCGTGGTCGAATGGTCAGTGACCTGCTTGCGCTGTGAAAGTTCAATCGTGGAGGCATGGTTGTGGATGTTGTCAAATCCAGATACTTTCTCCGCACTTGAGATCAACTTCGAATGGATGCACTAACCAAAATTTCGTGTGGCTGCCTAATAAGGCATCAAATTCATCTTGGGCAATGACGATCTTTCTTGGGCTGAACCACAGAACCATAACGCTGGGTCTGAATATTCTTGTCAAACAACATGGATCAGGGCTAGAACAATGTTTTAACTCATTTGTGGACTTTGATATGTGTTACGGTGACATTGAGTCCCTGTGACGGCATCGACCTCTACTTTTGCACGCTTGATAGTAAGAACCTCACTTAAAAACCACCACACAGGTCATAAATCGATGTGTAAGTCAGTATCTAATTCATTTCATGTCTTAATAATTCAAAGAGAACATCCACTTTTATTGCTAGTAACAAGTTCTGGAACCATTCCATGATTCGAAGTGATAAAATATATTCCATATCTCCAAAAAAAACAAGCTTTTTCACACCACCTCCCAAGAAGAAAAACATATCCGGAAAACTGTTGGGAATAACATGTACGCATTCAAACTCCAGCGCCCTTGCTGTCCTGTGAAAATCCACGGCGAAAACCATCCGACGCCTGAAGTATTATTGGCATTCGCCCATCCTTGCCGAAGCTGCAGCAAACGGCAAATCATCCTATTATCATCTCTTATCCTACAGGCTAAATTGAATCGTCGGCCGCAGTTTCGGTAGTTCTAGGTCATGTTGAAATTACCGCTCATTCGACTTTGGATAGGTGAGGTTGGGCTCGATCCAGTCAAACGGTTGAGTGCCACTTCTGCTGCATCCTCTTTCGCATTGTTGACGTACTGCCCATCGTACCAGAATCGTGCAGAAATATTCTGGCCCTGTACAGTTACTGTGCTAGACCATGCTGTTCGTCCACCTGAAACAAGTGTTAGAATCGGTTCTTTGAAGACTCGGTCTTGAGTGGAAGGTGAAGTGACATTACCTCTTCTATCTGACACGATCTGAAATACTGGGGGACGAATTTGTGCCTCGCGACATCTCTCTTGAGGAAATCAGTCAATTTGATGTTCAGTATTCATAGCACGAATTGCTTCATTACCTTCGAGCTTCTCTTGCCATGTAGCTGAGCCAGAACTGTATGATGAATAAGACATCTTCAATGGTGATTTCGTACTAGAAGGTCTGAAAGTGTTCAAGCTTTCAAGCTAGATCTGAGATTGAGTGCTAGTGATGTGGAGGAGAAACAGTGGGGAGCGGGTTCGGGAATGGCGTTATACTCCGCAGGAATTGAAGCTGGTCTTATAGATGATCCGCATGTACTCTTCAAAGTCTTCACGAAGGAGGGGGAGTGTTGAGAGTGATATGAAACTGTGAGGTGGCAGTCAAATAAAGTTGGATTGCTCTGCATCTGCATACCCATGTGCAACACGGCAGCTTGACTCTGGAATTTGTCTCGGCGTGATGAAATATATTTCAAAGAAGTAACGTCGATCGCCCGTAGCTTAGAGCCGTGTGTGTTGTCTCCATCGGTGGTTAGGACAGCTCATGTGTGACCTCCTACTGACGACTTCGGTAAAGTGTAGAAAAAGCAATTTGAGGCTTGAGACAGTAGCAGCGAGTGGAGATGCTCCAGCCAACGCTGGAGACACCTGTAGTAATTTGCAGTCTCGGATCGTCATGGGGCATTGGGAGAGTGAAATGAAAGCTGGCATATAGGTGTATGTATGTATGTATGTGTAGTGTGTATGGAAGTATGTGGGGTGGAAGGCAAAAGGTGCATATAGAGGGGCGGATCATATGCAAGAAGGTGACGATAGAAAAAAAAAGCTCTCCATAAAAGAAGCCCAATAAGAGTGCAAAGTGCCAAACCTTGCCAGAAAAAAAATGAGCTGCAGGAAGACGCACCCGAGATGTAGAAAGTACGACTACCTCTAATATTAGCTGATTTCAGGCCAATTGATTGAGTACTGAGACTTGATATCTCTCACCAGATTTGTTTTACTTTTTCCCCCAAAAAGGAAAAATGATAAGTTTGTAGGACCTGGGACTTTCTACCCCAGCATCTATAATCTTTGCAAATATAGATATACCATAATAGACAAAGCCATATATTACCCGGAAGTCGTGCGATATGATTGGTCAATTCGGAGCATTGAAAAAGCTGTAATGGTATGCCAGATTTCAATCTTCAATTTCCTTCTCTTTCCCACTACTGTAGATTTCCGAAGAGATGAGATCGAGGTGTCTGCAGGAACGGGTGCTTACATACATATTTATACATATTGATCAATGATCTTCAGGGTAGGTTGGGGTAAAAGTATATACCCCAGTGATAGCTACGGATAAGTACATCTGTACATTGAATCAAGCACTCAGCCCTGTGGCTTCTTCAACGGTGAGTCCACCGCTTCTCACTTCACCGCCCTCATGTGCCAACCAGATTCCAGAAGCCTGGACTAGACGTTTATCAAGATGAGCAAAGGGTGTGTCTAGCTTCATGAAACCTGGAGAACGGATAGATACTTGCATTTCGTCTAGAAAGACTTGGAAATAACAGTCGTACAGCAGATATTTCCAATTGGGATTCTCAAGTGGACTGATTGTGTCACCTCGACAAAGTTTGAAGAAAAGAACAGCCTACTTCGTAGAATAGAGGTCGCCTGCAAAAACTACCCAGAGGATAACATGCCGCACCCCGTCGGGTGCTCCGCTTACTTAACCGCCGTAGAATACGTTGGATCAACGGAGCTTTTTCCGTTCAACAAGGGAGTTGATAATGATGGGAGCCGTGAAGTACACAACCTAACAATGAAACATTTTGTTCATAGATAATATTGCGTGGCGGCGTGAGAGACGGACAAGTATATTCAAGGCTTGTCTATCAACACCTGAGCAGCCTTATTTTCGACAGCGCATTGACTGGATCTAGAATCTGTTGCTGCCCAAGTGTTCGAATATTTGAGGATAATTGAAGAGTTACTCATCAATATCATTCCATTGTCGGACGACATTTACTAGGATGTAAATTATATTACTCGGCCGGTTCTGGTGGTTTGACGATCAGGAACAGTCTTGCGTACTCGTCTCAGTGATTTGTATCACCAATTTCATGTGAAATATGTGAAATTGGCGGTGCGACCTATTCGGTGTCTAGAACCACGACACGTGACTATATGATCCACCACCAAATTATGTTCACGGTGTTGAAGACTTGAAGTAGAAAGAATGTTGTCCTGAGGTACGGATAGACAGACAATCATGAGACAGGGGATTTTTGGGAAGAAGACACGAAAACAACAAAAGCAACAATCTACTCTGGACCGTACAAAGAGAGTTTGCATCGGAGCAATAATCTTGATGAGATGGGGTCCAGCTGATTACCGTTTACCGTAATCTGAAGAATTGCAAGAAGACAAAACTAGCAGGTGTAAGCCGGTATAGCCTAGGCCCTAGTTGCCGTGCCTCGGTCTAAAGAATGTGGGGAAAGGAGCTTGTTACTTACAACACCAACCGTTTATTATTTTAACATCTTCCATACATATTTTGTTCTTAGACTTCGAATCATAATCGTTCTTTTGAATCATATTATTAGACATAAAGAGAGATATTAGAATAGACCATACATTCAATTCGATACACTTGTTAGATCAGACAAACCTACATCTCATCAGATCATTCGTTAGCAATCCTCGACATCATGCCTTTCAACACGAAACTCACCCAGGCCTTGGGTATCGAATGTAAGTTACACCCTCATGTCTTTCTCCGGACGACAGATCATTGATTCGGGATTATGTAGTACCTATTGTCCAAGGTGGTATGCAATGGGTGGGATATGCGGAGTTAGCAAGCGCCGTGAGCAATGCCGGAGGGTTGGGTATCCTCACAGCTTTAACGCAACCCACTCCAGAAGATCTACGCAAGGAGATTCGAAGATGTAGGGAAATGACGAAGAAGCCATTTGGTGTAAATATCACACTGTTACCTTCGATTAATCCCCCGGAGTAAGTTTCCGCAGATCTCAATCTCATCTCATGTTGATTCGCCGTTTGCTCCGTGTCTGTGGATCGCGAGTACAACATGGCCGTCAAGCCGCAAAAACTGCAAAATCAAACTGACCCGTGATTTCTTCCAGTTACGGTGCATACGCACAAGTCACTATCGATGAGGGAATTAAAGTTGTCGAGACAGCAGGAAACAGTCCAGGCCCTGTCATAAAGATGTTGAAGGCTGCTGGAATAATCATTCTACATAAATGTACGACCATCAGACATGCAGAGAGTGCAGTGAAGCTCGGCGTTGACTTTCTGAGCATCGATGGTTTCGAATGTGCTGGGCATGTTGGTGAAACTGATATCACGAACTTCATCCTCCTTAGTAGAGCTAGACAATCGCTCAAAGTTCCTTTCATTGCGTCTGGTGGATTCGCTGATGGCCAAGGTCTTGCGGCTGCGCTTTCGCTCGGTGCTGAAGGTATCAATATGGGAACACGATTTATGTGTACCGTCGAGGCACCAATACACGAGAACATCAAGAAAGAGATTGTCAAGGCCTCTGAAGTTGATACTCAGCTCGTTCTTCGAAGATGGAAGAACACCTCTCGCTTGTATAAAAACAAGGTTACTGCACAGGCAGTAAAGATTGAACAAGAGAGTAAGACTGGAGAGTTCGCGGAGGTTGCTCCTTATGTGAGCGGTAAGAGAGGTAGAGAAGTCTTTACCACTGGAGATCCCGATTACGGAGTACGTATCAATACCTAAACACTCATAACTCGCAAACTAATTATGTTTTAGGTTTGGACCGCAGGCCAAGTAATTGGTCTCATTCACGACATCCCCACGTGTGAGGTACTTTGTAAGAGAATCGAGAAGGAGGCCGTGGAGACATTGAACAAAGCTTCATCTCTCTTTCAGCCAACAAGCAAGCTCTGATTGTGTAGTGTCTCCATGTATGTATTTTACCATAATGATTGTTTTGATACCCTCGACATCTGGTTTCCCTACAATATGTGACAGGCAAATTACTTATGCTACTTATGGAGAGGTGCTTGCACTGTGATACCTGCTTAGTTGGCCAAAATACGTCTTCACAGTCTGATTGGCATCCAGCCCGACTAAACAACTCACAAAGTAATTTGAAGCTAATGTTTTTCCTTTGAATTTTTCTGCAGTTCCCTTTTCCTTCAACCATCTGAAACTTTAACTTGTGTGAAATTAATACACGTACCACAACACCGACATGACTGAAAGCATTTATCTGCATTACTAGAATTATCCTCCTTATCATCATGCACATAACAATTCAATTTATTCCCTCTGTCAGTCAAAGAAGTACCACAATCAAAACCAGCAAAGTTCAGAGAAACCTCCGCTCAGAAGCATCTCCTGAGAAGACGAAGACCGAGGAGACTGACCACTGAAGAACATGTATTTCCGAAAACTTTTTCATTGAAAACTTGAGCTGGCAGATTGATGATGAGTGGTTCTACTGTGGGCTCAAGAGTCCGGTGATATTACGGAGACGCGGCGCGAAATCAAAAGAGCGATTACAAGATATACGCGAGGTGGGTTGAGTGTTCTCACCATCCAGTCTAAAACTTGCCACTAATGCTACCCAGAATTGAACAAATGGGCGTCTTTTCGGTATCTACGGCTGCAGCCTTCTTTTTAAATCACTCAGTCGTTCTTCAGAGCCGCTCATGGGTCATCATTTGATCCGGCAGGACTCGTGCTCTTGCGGGGCTTCGAACACATGGTTGCCTTTTCTCTTCCGGGACTTGAAATCGGAATAGGCACATCACTTATAAGGACATTTAGTGAAGATTTCGTGGATCAGCTAGATGATTCTACGAGTTCTGATGAAAGATAATGCAGTGGGGAGAAAGCAACCGAAGATCGATCTAGCGGACGACTCGTGATTACTTCGGCTCCGTCGTCTTGTGAGAATGTAGTAAAGGGGGAACTGAATTTACGGATCATTGCACCTTCTCTGAAGCATGTTTTGCGAATGCTTAGAGTATCTATATAGGCAATGTATCCAGCTTATATCCTTTGTATTCATATGTATTACATCCGTTATTGCGATGGGATGACCACAAGTGAACCTCGGGGTCCTTACAGAAAGCGATGTATCAGTATAAACAAACCCCAACCGAAATCGTATACACTCGAACGACAGACGACGGGCGTTCCTATAGTATTCTGGATGTGAGTCAAATATCCATGTACTTCATCAGCGAGTTTCGCTACTGTCTTGTTGACGAGTTGATTCGGAAACTGTTGATGCGAGAATTCGCATGATGGAACGGAAGTGTTGGTTATAGTCTGTGAATTTCTTGGTGCATGGTTGCATTTCAATGGTATCGTATCTGCTGATGATATGCTGTACAAGGGGTAGAACATCAATCTAGACTTCGATTCATGTTGGATTAGCTTGAAACCCGAAAGTCTTGGGTGAAAACAGACTTTGTAGTAGGTACTCATCTTCTTTTCTTTTTGAATCTTCTGGAGTAATGGAAATATGAGAGTCTCACAAGCCGGTGTATGTAATCTATAAAAGGAGATTCTCAATGTTTTCCGAGTTAACTTCCGGAACTTTTTCAGCTTGCAGATTATGCTGTGTGCTAAAACTCCTGTTTTGTCATGTTTCTACACTTTGGTGTCACATTCAAAGCAGGATCGTAACGAAGTGTGAGTTCATAATTTTAATGATTTTAAAGCGTAAAACCATCTTATCGAAAGGCAGGCTACTGCTGTAAAAGAAGGAAATTTTCATATTTAATAACGCATCCTCCGGAACGCATCAAGTCCACCCATAGCTCATTACCCTAGCCTCTCTGCACATTTCATAATCCCCCATGAAACATGCAGCTGATAAATCCACCCCTCATATCAAAAACCGAATCGTCTTCTTTCATATGCCCGCTTCTTCCTCTCCTGGTGTGCCTGCATATCCTCTTTTTTGCCCATATTCGACCAGTACCAACTCGACTGGCCATGATGAATCCTGCAACTCATACTATACTCTTTCTCTAAATCACTCTGATAATAAACGAATGCCATATCGCTCCCCTCACTGGATTTGTACATACAATCCAAGCACATACCATGGAAGCTGGATTGGATTTCGTTTCGAATGCGTTTGATAGCAATCGAGTTCAGATGAACTCTACAATTCATACACGCCTTTTCCGGAATCACGCACACGAATTTGTCGAAACTGTCCAAGATTTCCTGGATACTCTTCTTGTTGGCTGACTCAATAGGCCAAATCTTCATCTTGCTAAGCCCTGTAATATAAGCAAAGCTGGAAAGCTCTTTGCAACTGCACCGTTGATGTATAAACCAGTCAAGTGGGTCAAAGACGCCTTTGAGGAGCTTCACACGGAGACTACCTCTGGCACTATTCAATGAGCCTATAGGACGTATTAAAACATTTTTGCTCATATCAATGAATGAAGAACTTACCCATGACTCTGGATGGCAAATGGAGGTGTCTGTGTCGCGATGGATTTGCCTCCTGAATATGATCTGCCATTCCATACGCCAACTTTCTTGTAATGAACTGAAACTCCTCGATACGATCAAGTTCATGGGTGAGGTATAGAAAGGATCTCATGTCGTCAAGACTCTTCTTTTCGATCTTCTGATTCTTGAACCATTGTGGTGACCAATCTCTCAATTTTTTTATGCCATCATGCATCTGACGGTATCCGCAGATCTGGATGGCTTCATATATTTCCTCAGCTTCGAGGTCGTACATATCATCGATCATGTCCTGATGCAAGATCCGAAACCAAAGCTCATAACTCTTCACGGTTCCATCCTCGATGTCTACTGTGGTCTGCTTGGATTCCTTGGCCCATCCTTCGAGGCAAGTATTGAATACTGAAGAATTGTCTGTGAGAACCTTCCTGGAAACTCTGTAAGTTGCGAGAACGGTGGTTTGTTCCGATTTTCTTTCAGTAACGGGATCGATGGTAGTCTTCTTGTCGATGAGTCGGATAGTCAGGTCTCCTTTGGGCTCGATGATTAAATGAACTGGTGGCTAACAACAAGTCAGTAATTGAACGAGGGTCTCTCTGGGCATATCGCTTACTGCTGGGGGTGGATGGCTTGCCATTGTTACTCTTGTTACTACAATCTTTGATCTGAAGCTTGTCGTTGATCTTACTTGAGAAGTTGGAGATCGAAGAATGGAAAGCCATAGGCTGAGAGGACATATTTATAAGAGTGTTAGCACTAGCGTAGGAAACCTAGAAAGAAGCGAAATCGAAGAACTTCGAGTGAATATCCAAGGGCGAGATAAGACGGGACAAAGGTGATAGATTGAAGGTCAAATAGGTAACATATCGATACCAAAGGTGAACAGACAAGACAAATCCAGGACATTGAAACTCAAACAATATGAAAGCGAAAGCTGATGGATAGTTTAGACCAGAGCACAAACACGAGAGAGGTCTTCGAATCAATAGCCATTGTCATCTGAACATATACATGAAGTGGTATTGATCCACCTCTTCCTGCCTCTAAAATGACCTAGCAATGGTGAGAACCAATGAATATACTAGTGGATAGAAGCAAAAGTAGAGACAAGTTATTTAAGCAACCCTCAAAGAACGCACCGAGATCTCTTCCCTCCTACAAAACAGCCAAAAATGCAACGCTAAATTAACCAACTTAAATCATCTAGCTATTAATCAATCTTCAAAGTGACCATATAGTAGTCTTCTTTTCAATATCAGGGTATCTCAAACACATCTCTCAACTTATCATCACCCATCTCAAGCCATCTTATTCATTCCCAAGGTTATCTGATGTCCTCCAGACCCATAATAATCAAAAAATAGACCATCAAAATAGCAAAACTGGAGGTCCCCAGAAACATCGGCTTTCCGTACGTTTTTTCTGTTACACTGTTATTACACTGTTACACCAACTCACAGGCGTTCATTTGGAACACGGACTTGCCTACTGTGCCATCTGGCCCGTGAGTTGGTGCTGGAAGTAGGCGATTTCCTATATTTATAAGTAATAAGCGTAGGTCGCAGATTCACTCAGTATCGATCCGATCTTGTACCGGAACTTGGACTGCGGGCGCATGTTCGGCAGCCGTATCTTTGAATGCTGCTTCAGCTTGCGGCACTGAATCTGATTGGCCAACAATTGCATCTTTTTGACGGACAGCATCCCAATTCACATTGTTACTAGTAGCGGCGATTTCTGCTTTTCTAAGCCAATCCTCCCACTTCGGTGTCGTTGGTGCAGCCCCACTCGTCTTCACCCATCCAATTTTCTTTGTCTCTCGGATCGCGTACCATAATGTTCTAGTGAAAGAAGGCCTTCCTTCAACATCGTTCGCGTCCTGCTCCAGATTTGCTCCTTGCGCATCTTCAGGCGTAACATCTATCCATTCATAGCTCGACAGATCCCAGAATCTCCTTTTGTTCATCAAAGCTACGCCCCAGTATGCACCGTTGAGAACGATGTAGGACGCACCAATAGAGATTTGCATTTGGAAATCGCAATTTCCAAGAAGCACGACGGAAACCATGAGTAGACAAGTACCGATGCCGACAAGTACTCGGTAAGTATCTGTGCCAACATAGTATTGGCATTCCTCAGTTCCATTATATAGTTCACGGGCAATCTCTTCATTGCATCTGACTACGACGAATGCTCCTTCCCTGGTGCGGATCACGACATCGCCCAACGGAACGGGACTGTTGTTGTTGCGATTCATGAGAGCGGGTGACCAATAAGATGCATAACCAACAATTGATGAGGCAAGGGAGATGGTAAAGAGTGCAACGCATGCTGTCCCGTCATGGGTCAATACCGCCCATATAAAAAGACCAATGGTCAAGAAGAATGATATCAGAGAAAGACAGTTGAGAGGTGACCAGAATTTAGCTGGTACGTGGGGTTTCTTGTTGTCAACATTGGTCCCGCGATGGGTGATTCTGGATCTAAGTGTATCCCGACGTCGAGGTTGAGGCGTTATGCCGCTCTCTAAGTGTGAATTTTCAATACTGCTAGAAGCAGAAACCTGCCTCTCTTTATTCGCGGGTGTAGGTGGAGTCACCTCCTGAGTACGGGCATTTTTATGCTCGATTTCGAAGACCTTGAACTCGAAAGGCTTGAGCTCTTCTATTGGATGTATGATATTTGGGAAGAAGTTGAGTGATTGCACATATACTCCGTTATGTACACCGACCACGGCAGCGTTAACTTGTGGCATTCGAGAGGGACGCGAAGATTTGAGGAGGACTTGTGGGGCAGGAATGATTCGAGGGAGCATGCACATCCAAGACGAGGTCATGGTCTGAGAGTGATCAGCCATGGCAGATTCCCCTATGACTGCCAAAAGTGACACGATATCTAATCGCCATCCTTCACTGTGGTAGTTGTTAGTCTATGGACAGGATATGAGAAGCATGCGAATAATGATATGATATCTAACATACCGAGACTCTTTCCCCGAGGGAAACCATGCGTTTGACATCTCCACTACTGTGCCGAAGGTCTGATGGCTGTCGTCTAAAGTCTTCGAGGTTCGACTTCGAGTCAAATGTGGTAACCGTGCCTGTCGCTTTGTTTTCTCTTTCCTCCTTTCTCACCTACGTCTCAAATCCGCAAATATCAGTTTTCGCTTTCTCAAATACCACTCTTTTAGTATCTCATCCTTTTTATTTTCGTTCGACTCTTTACTCCCCCATGAAAGAAGACCTCGTATATTTATTATTCATAGGAGAAGATCAAAAAAAGAAATACACAGAGCCTCATGCCAGCTTGCCCACCTAGTACATTTCATCCGATTCCATACCCCCTCCATCTTCAACAAGGGACCCAAAAGGGCAATCGCGTCTCACAAGCCCTGGGAGCTGAAAACCGCGGAGCCAGTAGCGCGTGGGTTAGAGATACCATTACAGGGGATGTGTCAGAGGGCTGTGCCTAAGTGTACACACCCACCTCGTCAGCCTACTTTGCACATTGCTTTTATATGACGAAGGTTTGTTTGTGGAGCTTGTGGGAATTCGAAAATGTTTGGTATAAGATATACTTTAGATATCCTTTCTTGGCTACTGAAAAGAGCTTTGTCATATGATTAGATAATTCGAATGTTTTGTTTATTCTTAAAATCCTCGAAAGCTTAAATTTCCTGTTAATCCGGATGTTGTTAAGAGAATTTAGCGATTATGTCCTAACACTTAGCGTCCGTTCAGCGTTCAAACCACTCTAAAGTCCTAGTGACTCCCTTCCGTGAGTCCCGTCGAAACTAAATCCATATAATAGTGCAGGCCAAGCCCTATAAGTGGATATTAAATACCCTCCAGAGACTAGCAGTGCCCTTTAGTACCCCGTTGTTTCGCATTTTCAAAGTTTCCTAACCACATGTTCATCTAATTTTTGTTTTGTGCATAGATTTTCCGTTTGTTTTCCGTTTGTCAACACAACAGGTTCAGCAAAATCTACATTCGGCGGCTATGCATGCACGAAACTTCGAAGAGGCAAGGAGGCGGCACAGCAAACAGGGACTCGGAAGAAGAAAAGCGATTTGTTTGAATCTTTCTTCCATCATACATTGTGGGGCGGAAATGGACGCTCTTCGTTGGTAAATGAAGGGGTATTTATCATACGCGGCGTTCACGGTTAATAGAGAATATTGCTGTTCTATCTATAATTGATGAGACGCGTCCACCTACTGCATATATCGAATCTCTTTTCTACTTTCGTTACCACCAAATAATTGATTGGGTGTCAAATAATGACCAGCTCTTCCATAATGCCGTGGTGCCGTCTTGGAAATCGAAATCATACTACATAGGTATTTGTAGATGTCTACCCGTAGGTACCCGTCTAGGCATGTGGTCGTTTCAAGTCTGAATGTAATGGCTGGAGTCATTCCTTTCTTATTACTCATGTCAGCTTCAGGTTAGGATTTGTCCAACTTCAACGATAGATATATGAGGACCAAGTTCGAGACAAGAATCTCATAATTAAAAAATATGGTAAAATCGTAGTAAAAAGTCATCAAGTATAATAATGAAGATAATACACCCAAAATCCAAAGTAAGAAGTCGTCTCTCGTTGTGACTCGTATATCAAAATCGTGTGCGCCTCAACGCCCTCAATCGTCTCGCTCCACCCATTTTCTGATTTACAGCCCACAGCCTCATCTTACATGCAGTCAGTGGTATTAAATGAAGTTAAAAACAACGAAAGAGCCCGAACAAGGCACGATGGTCGTGTAACTTCAATCGCTTCCCTGATCGTCTTGGTAAATGATCAATGTCGATCAGATGCTGGTGTCCATTCATTTACCCAACTATACTCATCAACGATCCACTGACAGTAATCTCTCCATCTCGTGGTCCATTCCTTAGTAACTTCTCTTCTCTCCTCGTTATCCATGCAGCTATATTCCAAACTCCACTGTGCAAGTTGCTTCCAGCCATGGAGAGACATTGATTCAGAGCCAACCATTACTTGATAGAAGTCGTGAGACAAGGACGATCTATTATCTGTTAGTGAACGTTTGTTTGATGAGAATTAAGGGAACATGCCTATAGAATGTAGCATTATCGCTGTTAATCGTACAAGGCACATCGTTTGCCAGTAATACTGGGAGGTTGTGTCCCGCAATGTTCGGAGTGAGGCCAAGAACCTCGTTAGAGATAGGACATGATTCGATGGCAATTTTCTTTTCTTTGAATATTTCCATTAGAATAGGATGTCTTGCGACTGCATAGCCGTGTCCTATTCTCTTCGCATTTAGTAATATCGCATCAAAGAGATTGCCGTCCACTTTTCCGCCAACCTCTAGCGTCTCCCCACAATGGAACAGAAAAGGGATTTCTAGCTTTTGATCTCTACATTTCCGACGGAATGCAAGAAACTCGGGCACGAAATGTCGAAGCTCGTTTCCCATCTCTTCATGGCCCACAAGATCAAACCCTAGATTCTCATTAGTGGAAGTGTGTAGGTTTGACGTTTGAAGCAGACTAACCACAAAGCAGTTTCTGATATTTCTTCTTTAAATCAATGCACTCGTTTAAAGCTATCTCAATTTTGCCTCTATCAAATGAGCGAGGTGTGCAATAAATGACTTTCATGCCCCCG